TTCATATCTTCAAAAGAATCTGGTGCTTATTGTGGCCCTGAAAACTTGGCAATGGAGACTGTTTAAGTCTACATCTGTAGATTTCGGGTAAATTTACCTGACCTAAAATCCTACTAAAAGTGTGTCTGGCCTCAAAAGTCACATGTGCCTAATACTCCACTGGCGCCCGCGGTTGCGTAGAGGAATGGCAAACCAATGCTGCTTGGTGTGCATGGCCAAAGATTAAATCCCGCTGAGAGGGCTGACGAGACCCAGGTGAGGCCGAAACCGAAGTTAAGGCGAGATGAGAATGCCTTTAATGTGGTAAGCTGAAGTGAAACTCAATAATATCGTGAGGCATAATCACTTCCTCGTGTGAATTCACCCCTATCGACAAATGCGGGAGGTATGGCTATCACTCAAGCTATATTTTTCATTGCTCTTTCACTGGAAATAACCAACATGCAAGATAAGACTGCTGGCATGCCATCAGGCCTAATCTTGAGCCAAACGAAAGGATCGAAATGCGCCTTCAATGGAGCTTTGGGTCGTAGCAGATGCTGCGAACCGTCTTGATATGCTACGAAGAAGTTTTTCAACCCATTTTGCGTTGTATTCACTCGGAGAGAAATCTCCGGAATGGTGGGAGAAGGCAGCTAATGCTGGAAGACGCTATATCAGGCGACTTTTACACTCTGAAAGCAAACCTTCTTCATCACTTTCATCCAATATGGCATTTATATTCGCACATGTTAGTTAATGCGCCAGTTTACTGCTCTTCGATCAAGGCTAATTGGGCATTCAGAAAAAATCGCTAAAGTACTCGACAGTCGCTTCTGCTAACAATACTTTAAGGTGGTTGTTATGCCAAAGATGCTTATTTTGTTAGTCAAAACGACCAAGAGGTTTCAGCCAGATGGACATTGTTTTTGCCCACCTCCGAAAAGCGGCTGAAACCGAAATCAGGGATACCGGATTATTGTATAAGTGGGGTCTTGCCATAGATTGTTACAGATGCGATTGGTTGGCTAAAAAGAGAGACTTTTGCGATAAACAACTGACAGACGGGAGTAACACTCTTCAGAGCCAACAGTCGCAAGGGCTCCGCACGGCAGAAGCGCCTTTCGGTATCATGATCTGCATCCTGGGGGATAAGCTATGGGCTATTAAGTCTCTTGTATTACCTCTAAACTCCCCGTTAGGCCAAAGGCACCTTTTATAGATGGCTTATTTCAAGTCTAAAGATGTTGGAGCGACTACCTGACGACCATAACATCATAGGACAGGTCCGCTTCTTCGCGGAGTCATGCTCAGGATCAGAGCTTCCTAAAATAAGAGCCGGCAACAGGACAGCCAAGCATGCCAGTCCTCCCGTATGCGATTAATGTGACTCCTTATTACCGGAAAAATAGTAAATCAAACCGACTCATCTTATCTGTCGACCCTGGATCTGTGCAAATCTATGCCTTCTGACCACTTTACCCCCTTTTTTCTTAGTCCCAATGGCATGATTGAACATGACTTGATAGGTAGCTCACGTAAATTTTGTTGGTCTCAACCGGTCACTATTGAGTCCATGCGACTCACAACGTAGCTCGACATGCTCATACTTCCCAGACCAGGTCTGACGAATAAAAGGGGGGGGCAGAAGCCCGGCTCTCCGAATCAGGTAAGCTCTATTAGGGCCGATCGAACAGTTGTGAAGCCCTGATACGGGCGCTGCCATGGCTGTGTCTCGGAAATCTAGGCTTTCTGTGCAACTATTATACTTCCCTGTAGTCCATGTACAACGTCTCGTCTTCCTGTGATGCCACATGTCTCTACCGCTCCGTCCTTGCCGCCTGTACATCTCGATTCAGGCAGCCAAGACCGGCGATCTGTTGTGTTAGGCCTGGAAAAGCCTATTCGCAGGAGACATAGTCCGTCGTCTCGTTTGAGTCAACCTGTTCTCCTCGTGGTATTAGCCACCCTGTTTATTACTGCCATTCGACTCCATTCATGCCTTTCGACTCTTCCCAAAGGTATTTGTGAGCCAAGAACTCAGTCACTCCAGGGCGCTTACGGTGATTTC